CATGAGTGTGCAGGGATTTGTTACTATCATATTTATAGATAATAAAAAAAATACCTTATGTTTCTCAAATGACTTGAATATGAATAAAAAATATTTCCAAAAGAAAATAACCATTATTTTGAAAGATATTTCCATTCACTCAGTACTTGATTGAGTCACCTTTTACACAGAATATGGCATCACTGATGGGTGAGAATAGCCTGTGACACTGCAGAGGTGCTGAAGAAGCTCAGGTTTATTTAATTGTTGTCTGCAGGTTAAACATGTTGCTGTTATTGGGGTCTCTTTTTCTGCTTTTACAAGGCTAACCTGAAGTTGATTCCCTATGAATTTAATTTCCGCCTAGTTTGGAGGCCAATCTAGCACACAGTGACATTCTGCAGACTGAATCAGTTTGTGGTATCTTTTGCAACGTGGGCACTTGCTAAGTCCTTCCAGGAAATATCTTCATGCAGCTTTTAGGCAAAGCAAATTATCTAAGTTTCAATGATAGATTAATTTGTTGACTATGGACTTAATAATGTGATCAATCACTAAAAGATGCCTAACTCTGGACTTCATTAAATATTGATTGTATTACTCTCCACTATTCTGTTAGACTCTTTGAATTTGATTTTAAAATTAAATCCAAATTTTACTTTCCTCTGAAAAAAGACCGCTTAGTAATAGTACTTTTTTGGGGACTTAACTTTCATGTCAGGATTCTGGCAAAGAAGCTGGTTTGTTTACATTCAGCTCTGCGTCTGGCATCATTATCATTCATTCTTTCTACCTTTGCAGCCCTCCCCTTTGTCATCAGCGTTCATGTTTTCCATCTGCATTCCTCTCTATATAACTCGTCCACTAACCCCTCACTATTGTCAGATTATTTATAAATCCCACAGTGAGTAGATGTCTTGCATTCCTTCCATGCCTGATATCCTGATCCTGACCTTGCATTTGCCTCATGGATTCCACGCCTTTTCCTTGCTTTCCACCAGATTACTCTGAGCTTTCTGATTTCTGAACACTGACCTGGTTTTGACTACCATTTCTCGTTGTCTCCTCGGATACCTCCTCTAGATTCAAACCTCTTGGGTCTGACTCTGTTTCTGTCCAACAAGTTCTGTTTTTCCTTTAGGACTTTAAGATGGAAACTACCTCTACCTGTAAGTTCCTAGTTGTCTCTCAGTCCCCACTGGTCTTGTGAGCAGCACGCTCTGCATCAAAGTGGTCTAAGCAGCAGTGACTTTGACATGGAACCAAGCTCTAGGGATGATTGGTTTCATGCTGACAATATTTTAATACAGTACATGTAACTTGTGTCCGGTAGAATACCAGGTCCTCAGTCTGGTATGTTACAGTCCATATGTTGGATTTCTCTGTACATATTAGCTCTGATGTGCCAACTCCATCATCAGTGCACACGCTGTGCAGTTCCCTTAAATCCTTTAGTGAATTACGCTTGCCTACTTAGTTCTGGAGCAACTTCTCCGACAACATTTCTTGGTTGCTGTTGACATTGTAATAATGTGCTTGGATGAGGCATTATGGGAGCAGTCAGTATGTTTAGCAAAGACCTCTGGTGGCTTACTTATTCTCTGATGAAAGGTGTAAATGGCTGTCGTCTTGCTATCTGTTTGTGATAATTGTTTATCCATCCATCCATCCATCCATCCATCCATCCATCCATCCATCCATCCATCCATCCATCCA